GTTGGGTATATATTTTGGAGTTGGGGTACAGTTCTGGGAAATATATTTCAAAGAAAAGGAAACAAGCTCAAGTTTGATACAGACTTGATTGTTGCAAGAAATGAATTCCACGACTGTAGCACACCCAAAGTGACCATGCGCAGTGGACGGAGCGTGCTCACTAAAGCACAACTATAATATTGTGACACACGTACAAATCTCAAGGAGATTGTTCGGAAAAGCACCAGACTTCTTTTAAAGAATGGGAAAGAGCCTTGGGAAAGGATCACAGAATCACTCAGATAAATAAGTCTAATGGGTGGGGCCAATAACTATCTTCAGAGAATGTGTGTAAGATCATACAGTTATTTTTCATTCTCATATGCAGAACTTTCTGAAGAGAGCTGTGAATCACTGGGAAAGGAGACAAGCAAGAGATGGGGAGGGTACCATATGTGTCTGTAGGCCCTAAAAAATCTGCACTGGGAATTACTTATAATCCTGGATGGGGGTAAGGAGCCATGTGTTACCTTAAGGAAAGAAGATTCCATGTCACCATTCTCTGTCCTGGGTCCTCAAACTGCGTGGGAGTAAAATAATTTCATTAATGCCATCAGCTCCGCTCACCCATGTACAAAATATTTATGAACAGCTCTGTCATTTCTGCTCTTTGAAGAGACAGAATCAATCTTCCCATTTTAAAAATAGAAAAATGAGGGCTCAGTTGGTTAAGCGACTGCCTTCGGCTCAGGTCATGATCCTGGGGTCCCAGGATCGAGTCCCGCATCGGGCTCCCTGCTCAGCAGGGAGTCTGCTTCTCCCTCTGACCCTCCCCCCTCTCGTGCTCTCTCTCCCATTGTCTCTCTCAAATGAATAAATAAAATCTTTTAAAAAAAGAAAAATGAAGTACCAAGGGAGTCTGCATTTTCTAACTTCAGTTTTAGTCAATGATTTTGGAAGTTCTGTCCTGGAAACTGAAGTGACCCAGCCTGTGAACCCCATGGAGCCCTTCTCATCTCAGGCCAACGAGGCAGCGTGGCTGGGCCTAGAGCGCCATCTTGTGTTCACAGTGAGACAGCTACACGTTCTACACATTCTATCAAGCATTACTCAGTCATTCAGTATAGGGTGCTATGCCTCCCCCATTACATGAAGTCCAGGGCATTCAAAGATTGGTAAGACAGTTTTAGAGTTCAAGTGTTAATTGCCACATGGCTTTGGGCAGCTTATTTTAACCTCATTTTGCCTCAGTTTCCTAAACCTGAAAATGGAGATAAAAGTAAGAAACTCAGGTTCTCAGAGGAGTATGTGAGTGAAGCAGCATTAGGCACATAAAGTGTCCGCTTGGTAGTCACTCCACACGTGGTAACCGCAAAGCATGCTCCCTTGCAGAGTTGACATTCTCATGAGGGAAAGTGGGCATGTAAGTGGAACACAGAAAATACATGACAAGTAATGAAAAAGAAATACAAAATGTTTAGGAATATTCGATCCATATAGACAAGCATCAAAACTAACATTGCTCTCATGTGTGACCTTCAGGCATTATGCATTAAGACTCCTTTGATCTCAGTCAAAAAATAAGTACTGGGGCACCTGGCTGGCTTAGTTGGAGAAGTGTGTGACTCTTAATCTTGGGGTCGTGAGTTCAAGCCCCAGGTTGGGGGTAAAGATTACTTAAATAAATAAATAAATAAACTTAAAAAAAGAATAAGTACATACTAAAACAACAATAGGGGACCTCCTGTGTGTCCAAAGAACTTTCAGGCAGAGATAAGTTACCTAACATCATTTTGTTTCAAACTATATTTCTCAAGCCTTAGTTGTTAGATATTCACATATTAATATATCATATATATGTACTAACATTTCAGAATTTTATTTCATCTATACCAGATATTCTCTAAGTTCATTAACCTTAGAGAGTTAAAACCAAAGATCAGGGTTGACAAGAACAACGGCATTTAAATAACAGCAGAGCCTCTGTCTGGAGCTCACCCAGGGAAGACCATGGGATGGTTTCCTTGCAGTCTTGGCTCTTGTTATCAGAGTTCCTGAGTGGTTCAGGAATGGTCCCTTTAGCCTCCAGACACTACCAACAAGCTTCTTCGCAAGCAGCTCCCCTCCTCTGGTCAGTTGGTTCTTCCTCTCTTTGCTAGAGCTGCTTTTCTCTCTCTCTCTCTTATGGCTCACCTTACTGATACTAAAATCTCTCCCCTCGCCCACCCTCGAGCCCTACTGTGTCCTGAGGCTGGGCCCACAGACTCCCATTGGGACCCTTCTAGTCGCCATTCCTGCCTCTGGCCTGAGCGCAGCCCCTCAGCTAATCCATAACACGGGAGTGGGTGCCTCAGGCCAGAGTGGGGGCTGGAAGCTAGTGCTCCCCTTGCCCATCTTTCCCTGTGGCAGCCACAGGGGGCAGCCTCATACCAGCTTCTCCGGCCTGGTTGACAGCTACCAAGACCCTTGGCCTTTTCACTCTCTTTCAAGTGCAGCACCCAATAAGTACAATTTACAGTGTTTGCATCCAATCACAAATTACCGGGCGTGACACAAAACAGAACAAAAACAAAAACAGAAAACTACCATCCATGATGAAGAGAAAAAGCAAACATGAAGACAAATCCAGAAACAACACTGATTATACAATTAGTGGACAAGAACATTGAAACGGTTTTCTGTAACTGTTGTGTATAACCATTTCCTGTGTGTGCAAGAGGTTGGAGGAGAGACTGAACACGTTGGTAGAGATGTGGAAGATACAAAAAGACCCAAATTGAACTTCTGAGAATAAAACTATAATTCTTTAAAAAAAATTTTTTTTAATTTTAAGCGTGGGGGAGGGGCAGTGGGAGAGGGAAAGAGAGAGAATATTAAGCAGGCTCCACGCCCAGGGCAGAGCCAAATGTGGGGCGCAATCTCATGACCCTGAGATCATGACATGAGCCAAAATCAAGAGTCGGACGTTGAACCAACAGAGCCACCCAGGCACCACTCCTCCTTTTTTTTAAACTACAATTCTGAGATGAAAACACACTGGATTAGATTGATAGCAGATTAGACAATGAAAAAGAAAAAGCTAGTGAACTTAGGGACACATTAATGTAAACCATCCACAATGAAATACAGAGGGGAAAAATATTGAAAAAAATGAAAAGAGCATCAGTGCACTGGGGGACAACTTCAAGTAGTCTAATATAGGAAAAGAAAGACCCTAAGAAAACTTCTGAATGTAACAAGGAGTCCCCTAAAATGCCAGAGAGCCCATCAGAATTTTTAAATAGCTTAAGTGGAGAAAAAAAATTTATTTTGAGACCCAAGTCCCCAACACATAAATTTTTGTGACGCAATTTCTTAGTTATCACCAATCCAAAGTCTGTTTGTCGGCTGACATGCTGTCATCCTAGGACTTTCAATCACACTGCTCATTTATCAGTGTTTTTTAATAATATAAAAATAATACATGACCGGGATGCCTGGGTGGCTCGGTGGGTTAAGTGTCTGCCTTTTGCTCAGGTCATGATCCCAGTGTCCTGGCACGGAGCCCCGCATCGGGCTCCCTGCTTCTCCCTCTGCCTGCCCCATGCCCCCCCCACCCTGCTTGTGCTCTTTCTCTCTGTATATCTCTCTCTCTGACAAATAAATAAATAAAATCTTTAAAAATTTTTTAAAATATAAAAATAATACATGACCAAGAACAGTTCATTCCAGTAATACAAGAGTTGTTCAACAGTGGGAATCCTATCAACATCAACCATTATATTTGTATGCTAAAGAAGAAAACCTACATGATTTTATGAATAAATGCAAAGAAAGTCGTTTCCTAAAATTTATTTTTTAAAGATTTATTTATTTATTTTAGAGATAGGCAGTGCACATGTGCGCTCAGTGGTGGGAAGGGCAAAGAGAGAATCTCAAGCAGATTCAGGGCTCGGTCTTACTACCCGAAGATCATGACCTCAACTGAAACCAAGAGTGGGAGGCTTAACTGACTGAGCCACCCAGGTGCCCCTGTTTTCTAATATTTAATAGCATCTCTAATAAAAACACTAATTAAAATAGGAATAGAAAGAAACTACTTAAACCTGATGAAACTGTTTATCAAAAACCAATGTTCAACTTCAGCTTTCAATCACGATGGAATAACAAGAGACTGGATTTACCCTCCCTCCTTAAACAACCAAATGCTGGACCAAATATGTAAAACAAAAGTTCTCGGACATTGCACCTCAGCCAGTGCAGGTCAGTGACCCCAGCGAGAAGGAAAACAAGCGAGGTGATCCCGAAAATTGCCCCAGCTCACTACCTGGAGAGTCTCCAGGCTGGACGCAGAAAGCGGAAACCAAAGCAGAGGCCAGAATTCTTACTGGGTTAAAGAGACAGTTTCAGAGCTGGAGGGGGGCAAGGTGATGAAAATTTGTTAGCAAAGTATCAGCGAGGGAACTGCAGAGAGAGAGAAAGCTCTGGAGATCTGCAGAGGGGTCCCTGGAGTCTTGGGCTGAGCACTACAGTGTACTGCATGTGGAAAGAAACCTCCAAGGCTGGGGAATGAACACCAGAGAGGAGGAGGCAGATCAAGCCCGGGAGCTCGCACAGGGCCAGAAATAGTGCTCCCGCCCTAGCCAGGGTGGGAAGACTGCCTATCACCCGAACCCTCCGACACAGGGCTCAGAAGCATAGTGCCCCAGTGGGGGCAAAATGGCCCTTGATGAAAAGCTGGGTTAGACCTGTCCTATCAGCGCATAAAAGCAAGCTGCAAAAAAAACTCGAACCCATTCCAAATAACTTACTGCGTTCTAAAACAAGCCCATAAAAATCTAAAGGAATTCAAAAAACCCATCACCTGATAACATACAACACACAATGTCTGGTGTCCAATCAAACATTACCAGGTATGCAAATAAGCAGGAACTATGACCTATAACCAGGGGGGTAAAAAAATCTATCTATTGATCCAAAAAAAAAAAAAATCAATTCGAATGAACACAAAGAACATCCATTAACTATATTTTAGCCAAGATTTCACACTCTTGCCTCATCAAAGCTTTTAGCAGCAGATGCTACCTCAAAATTACCGAATTGGCAGATTTCCTTTCCCTGATTTTTGGTGCTAATAAACCAAAAAGTTGTTAAAAGGAAAGAAAAACCAAAGCCCAACTGGCAGATTACTTCTGAGGAATTCTCTAAGCTTCAAGGTTTCAAATCCTGCTTCGCTCTCGACGCCTTTCCATTCTTCCTGCATTCCGTTGTGTGTTCCTTCCTTCTCTTGGTAAGTATATTCCTGTTTCTATTTCTACAAAAAATATTTCAAAAACAAAAACTTATATATATTTTTGTATATATTATATATTATGTTTTATATATTATATTAATTAATTAAATATACACACACAAGTTAATGCATGGCCATTATTAAATGGATGCTTCTATTTTGTTCTTTCTGCTTTAGATTCTCAGATAACAAAAAACACTTAATAATATGCTGCTATGTGCCAAACAAAATCAGTGCCATGCCCATATGTATGTATTCTCATATGAAATACATATTTTGGTAATCAGATCAGCCCTGTGTGGTAGATACTATCATCATTCCTATTTTACAGTTGAAGAAATTGAGGCATGGGGAGGTTCAGAAGGCTGCACTAAGTCATACAGTTGATAACTGGCAGATTTGGGTTTGGGCTCAAATAATCTATAACCAGAGCTCATGATTTTGATCATAAATTCTACTGCCTTTAACTAATACAGAGGTTATAGAATAGATTATCTATTTAAAAAAAATAAACTATATAGATATAACCAATACAGATCCCTCCCCTTCTTTTTCTTCCCTATATCCCTCCAAATAGCCACTAATCTGAAGATGTTCTCATACATGATTTCCCCCTTACCTGTTCCCACCTTTGGATCTCAGATGAAGATGATTGAGTGAATCCCATTAGCCAGTTTCCACCTCCATTGTTAACTATGATTTTCATAGTAGCATTATATATAATATTCAAATGTGTTTTGTATGTATCTTCTAAATCCCATATTTAATGATTTAATGTGTTTTGTACGTATCTCCTAAATTCCATATTTCACCCATGGTGGTGGTGGTGGTGATGGTGTGTGTGTGCGTGCACACTTTAAATTTATATAAAGGGCATTTGTATTATATAGACCTTGTATTATTTCTTACTATCTTTACTCAGCACTGTTTTTACAACACATCCTTGTTGTTATGTACATTTCATTGTTGCTTCTAATGGGCACACCATTCCCTAGTATGTATCAACTGCATTGTCTAATTGTCTCCAACTACAATGACCCTTTATGTACATGTCTTGCTGTGAGCCTGTGTGTGAATTTCTGGAACATATGAATGCTTAATTTAACCAAATACTTAACAACTACTCTCCAAAGAAAACTGTACCAATGTCACCACTTCCCCAGCAATGCAGGAGGGTTCTTATTTTTCCCACACTCTTATATTACTTGGCATTATCCAATTTCTAATGTTTGCAAATCTGATGTCCAGTCTTTTAATACAGGGTACATTTTTCTAATTGCTAATGAGCTAGAGTACCTCTTTATTATTTTTCATTTGTGTTTCTCTATTTGTAAATTACTGTTTATATCATTTGTCCAGTTTTCTGTCAGGTTTCTCATTGTTGTTTCACAAGAGTTGTTTGTATATTTAGCTAATAGCTAGAGACTAATAGTCTCTTGTCAGTTTTAGATATTGCAAATATATTCTCCCAATCTATTGTCTGTGTGTTGACCTTGTCTACAGGTCCTTCATTTAACAAAAATCTGTAATTTTGATGCAATGAAATCCATTAAATTTTTTTGCCTCCTGCTTTGTGCTTTGTGGTCTTAAGTTGCCACAAAGATATTTTTATATAAGCTTTTTTAGGAATGTGCCTTTAGATCTTTAGTACATCTAAAGCCCACCTCTATAAATAGGTAAAGGTAAGGAAAGGATGCAGTTTTATTTTTCTATTTATGGGGCAATTTTTCCAAGAGCATCTACTAAGCATTGATTTGTGACACCATTGTTTGTCACATATCAAGTTTATATAAAGAGGTGGGTCTAACTCTGAGTTCTTTGTTTTGTTTCATTAGATTATTTGTTAATCCTCTTTAAATTGCCTTTGTCTAAAATCAATTAAGTATAAATGTAAGAATTCCTTTCTGGACTTTCAGTTCTGTTCCATTGATCTATATGCCTACACTCACACCAGTTCCACACTGTCTTAACTAGCATATTAAAATTTAAAATCAGAAAGTGTAGGGGCAGGGTGCCTGGGGGGCTCAGTCGGTTAAGCGGCTGCCTTCGGCTCAGGTCATGATTCCAGGGTCCTGGGATCAACTCCTGCAACAGGCTCCCTGCTAGGCGGGGAGCCTGCTTCTCCCTCTCCCTCTGCCTGCCTCTCTGCCTACTTGTGCTCTCTATCTCTCTGTCAAATAAATAAATAAAATCTTTTTTAAAAAATTTTAAAGAAGACAGTGTAGGGGCGGCTGGGTGGCTCAGTCAGTTAAGTGTCTGTCTTTGGCTCAGGTCATGATCCCAGGGTCCTGAGATCGACTCCTGCGACGGGCTCTCTGCTCAGCCAGGAGTCTGCTTCTCTTCTTCTGCCCTGCTTGTGCTTTCTCTCTCAGTTTGTCTGTCTCTCAAATAAATAAATAAAATCTTTTTAAAAAATTTAAAAAAATAAAATCAGAAAGTGTAAATTCTCCAACTTAATTCATATGTAACAGGGCTAGCCCTCAGCTTTTTAGAACATTTTATTATGCAGTTTGTTAACACACACAAAAGTAGAAGGAATAGTATAATGAACTTTTATTACCTATCGTTCAGCTTCAAGAATCATGCTTCATCTATACTTCTCCACCCCTTACCCATTGCGGGTTTTGATTTTTAATACCTTTACTGAGATATAACTTAGCAAAAAATTCACCCATTTAACTGCACAATTCAATGATTTTGAGTAAATTTAGGAAGATGTGCAAACAGCACCACAGCTCAGTTTGAGAAAACTTCCATTGTCCCAGAATATTCCATCTTGCCCAACTGCCATCAGTCCCTACCCCTGATCCCACTCCAGCCCCAGGCAACCAACCATTCATCTGCTTTCAATCTCTATACATTTGTCTTCTCTGAACATTTCTTTTTTCTTTTTAAGATTTTATTTATTCATCTGAGACACAGAGATACAGAGAGAGAGAAAGAGCATGAGCAGGGAGAGAGACAAAGGGAGAGGGAGAAGCAGGCTCCTCGTTGAGCCAGGAGCCCAATGTGGGGCTTGATCCCAGGACCCTGGGATCATGACCTGATCCAAAGGCAGATGCTTAACCAGCTGAGCCACCCAGGCGCTCCTCTCTCAACATTTCTTATAAGTGGAATCATATAGTATGTGGTCTTTTCTATCTAGCTTCTTTTGCTTACCATAGATTTTACAGTCATACGTGTTGAAGCTTATATTAGTAGTTCATTTCTTTCTGTTGCTAAGTAGGATTCCATTTTATAGATATAACACATTATCATTCACCAGTGGACTGACCTTTGAACTGCTTCCAGTTTTGAATATTATGTATAATGCTACTACGAAAATGTGCATATAAGCCTTTGTGTGGATACATGTTTTCATTTCTCTTGGATATACAGCTAAGAGTAAAATTTCTGAGTCAGATGATAAGTTTGTTTAACTTTTAAGAAACTGCCAAATTGTAATTCAGAGTGACTGTACCACTTTACATTGCTATAAGCAATATATGAGGGTTCCAGTTTATCTACATCCTCCCCAATTTTTACTATTTTCTGTATTTTATTTTTATTTCCACAATTATTCCTGATTAACATCATCTTGGGGTTTTTTTGCAGGGGGTGGGTTCCTATATTTTTAAATCTAACTTAGTGGGTGTATTGGTATCTCATTATGGTTTAATTTGTATTTTCTTAGTTCTAATTTTGCTAACCATCTTTTTATAGGCTTTTATTTATTGTTTTAAGATTTATTTATTTATTTTAGAAAGAGAGAGCACGCCAGTGGGGGGGGGAGGGGCAGAAGGAGAGGGTGAGAGAATCTCAAGCAGACTCCCCGCTGAGCGCAGAGCCCCACACAGGGCTCGATCCCAGGACCCTGGGATCATGACCTGAGCTGAAACCAAGAGTTGGATGCCCAACCAACTGAGCCACCCAGGTGCCCCTCTTTTTATGGTATATTCATATACCTTTTAGATATTCATATACCTTTGTTGGTGAAATGTCTGTTTAAACATTTTGCCTGTTTTTTAATTGGGCCACCTTTTTATTAAATTATAAGACTTCTTAGTACATTTTAGAGAAAAGTCCTTCATCAGATAGATAACTTGGAAATAGTTTCTCCCAGTCTGTGGCTTAACTTCATTTCCTCACTGGTGTCTTTTGAGCTTTTCAATTTTGATGATGTCCAATTTATCAAATTTTTCTGGGGCGCCTGGGTGGTTCAGATGGTTAAGCGTCTGCCTTCAGCTCGGGTCATGACCCCAGGGTCCTGGGATCAAGCCCCACGTCGGGCTCCCTACTCGGCAGGGAGCCTGCTTCTCCCTCTCTCTCTACTGTTACCCCTGCTTGTGCTCTCTCTCTCTCCCTCTGTCAAATAAATAAAATCTTTAAAAAAATTTTTTTCTTTCATTGATTATGCTGTTGGTATGGATATCTGGGGTCCTCCTTGGTCTATCCTGTGCAGACATGTGGAAATTTATCCAGGCCTTATGGCTATCTCATATTCCAGATCTTTGACCAGTCCCCCAGTTCATTGCTAATGCCAGCCAGGACTGCAACCTCAGGCTAGCTGAGCCACTGGATTTACCTGTTTGTTTGCTCCTGAGATCCTAACAATTACTTCCAATCCTGCTAGAAGTAGGTTTTTCTATGCTTATTCAAAACCAAGTGAGACCCCTCTGGTGGTGAAGCTGTGGGTTTTCACAGTTTGAACACCCTGGTAGAATATCCCATAAACTGAGGTGGAAGGTGGAAGAAATGGGAGCAATCTCAGGTAATCACAGAACCTACTGGTTTTTTGTTTGTTGATTGGTTGGTTTCTCTTAAATATTTTATTTATTTAGGGGCACCTGGGTGGCTCAGTTGGTTGGGCAACCGAGTCCCAGGATTGAGTCCCGCATCTTAAAAGATTTTATTTATTTATTTGAGAGAGAGACAATGAGAATGAGCAGGGGAGAGACGCAGAGGGAGAGGGACAAGCAGACTCTCCCCTGAGCAGGGAGCCTGACATGGGGCTCCAT